GGGGTGGGAGAGGGGAGGGCGAGGGGAGGGCGAGGGGAGGGCGAGGGGAGGGCGAGGGGTGGGAGACGGGGTGGGAGAGGGGTGGAGAGGGGAGGGAGAGGGGAGGGCGAGGGGTGGGAGAGGGGTGGGAGAGGGGTGGGAGAGGGGTGGGAGAGGGGAGGGCGAGGGGTGGGAGAGGGGTGGGAGAGGGGTGGGAGAGGGGTGGGAGAGGGGTGGGAGAGGGGAGGGAGAGGGGTGGGAGAGGGGAGGGAGAGGGGTCGGGAGAGGGGAGGGCGAGGGGAGGGCGAGGGGTGGGAGAGGGGTGGGGGGGGGGGAGAGGGGTGGGGGGGGGAGAGGGGTGGGGGGGGGAGAGGGGTGGGGGGGGGAGAGGGGTGGGGGGGGGAGAGGGGTGGGGGGGGGAGAGGGGTGGGGGGGGAGAGGGGTGGGGGGGGGAGAGGGGTGGGGGGGGGAGAGGGGTGGGGGGGGGAGAGGGGTGGGGGGGGGAGAGGGGTGGGGGGGGGAGAGGGGTGGGGGGGGGAGAGGGGTGGGGGGGGGAGAGGGGTGGGGGGGGGAGAGGGGTGGGGGGGGGGAGAGGGGTGGGGGGGGGAGAGGGGGTGGGGGGGGGAGAGGGGTGGGGGGGGGAGAGGGGTGGGGGGGGGAGAGGGGTGGGGGGGGGAGAGGGGTGGGGGGGGGAGAGGGTGGGGGGGGGAGAGGGGTGGGGGGGGGAGAGGGGTGGGGGGGGAGAGGGGTGGGGGGGGGGAGAGGGGTGGGGGGGGGGAGAGGGGTGGGGGGGGGGGAGGGGTGGGGGGGGGGGGTGGGGGGGGGGGAGAGGGGTGGGGGGGGAGAGGGGTGGGGGGGAGAGGGGTGGGGGGGGTGGGGAGAGGGGGGGGGGGGGAGAGGGGTGGGGGGGGGAGAGGGGGGGGGGGGGGAGAGGGGTGGGGGGGGGAGAGGGGTGGGGGGGGAGAGGGGTGGGGGGGAAGAGGGGGGTGGGGGGGGAGAGGGGTGGGGGGGGAGAGGGGTGGGGGGGAGAGGGGTGGGGGGGAGGGGTGGGGGAGAGGGGTGGGGGGGAGGGGGGGAGAGGGGTGGGGGGGGAGAGGGGTGGGGGGGAGAGGGGTGGGGGGGGAGAGGGGTGGGGGGGGGAGAGGGGTGGGGGGGGGGAGAGGGGTGGGGGGGGGGAGAGGGGTGGGGGGGGAGAGGGGTGTGGGGGGGAGAGGGGTGGGGGGGAGAGGGGTGGGGGGGGGGAGAGGGGTGGGGGGGGGGGAGAGGGGTGGGGGGGGGAGAGGGGTGGGGGGGGGAGGAGAGGGGTGGGGGGGGGAGAGGGGTGGGGGGGGGAGAGGGGTGGGGGGGGGGAGAGGGGTGGGGGGGGGAGAGGGGTGGGGGGGGGGAAGAGGGGTGGGGGGGGGAGAGGGGTGGGGGGGGGGAGAGGGGTGGGGGGGGGAGAGGGGTGGGGGGGGGGAGAGGGGTGGGGGGGGAGAGGGGTGGGGGGGGGAGAGGGGTGGGGGGGGGAGAGGGGTGGGGGGGGGAGAGGGGTGGGGGGGGAGAGGGGTGGGGGGGGAGAGGGGTGGGGGGGGGAGAGGGGTGGGGGGGGGAGAGGGGTGGGGGGGGAGAGGGGTGGGGGGGGGGAGAGGGGTGGGGGGGGGAGAGGGGTGGGGGGGGGAGAGGGGTGGGGGGGGGAGAGGGGTGGGGGGGGGAGAGGGGTGGGGGGGGGAGAGGGGTGGGGGGGGGAGAGGGGTGGGGGGGGGAGAGGGGTGGGGGGGGAGAGGGGTGGGGGGGGGAGAGGGGTGGGGGGGGAGAGGGGTGGGGGGGGGGAGAGGGGTGGGGGGGAGAGGGGTGGGGGGGGGAGAGGGGTGGGGGGGGGAGAGGGGTTGGGGGGGGGGAGAGGGGTGGGGGGGAGAGTGGGTGGGGGGGGGAGAGGGGTGGGGGGGGAGAGGGTTGGGGGGGGAGAGGGGTGGGGGGGGGGAGGGGTGGTGGGGGGGGGGGAGAGGGGTGGGGGGGGAGAGGGGTGGGGGGGGGAGAGGGGTGGGGGGGGAGAGGTGTGGGGGGGGAGAGGGGTGGGGGGGAGAGGGGTGGGGGGGGAGAGGGGTGGGGGGGGGGGAGAGGGGTGGGGGGGGGAGAGGGGTGGGGGGGGGAGAGGGGTGGGGGGGGAGAGGGGTGGGGGGGGGGGAGAGCGGTGGGGGGGGGGAGAGGGGTGGGGTGGGGGAGAGGGGTGGGGGGGGGTGGTGGGAGGAGGGGTGGGGGGGGAGAGGGGTGGGGGGGGAGAGGGGTGGGGGGAGAGGGGTGGGGGGGGGAGAGGGGTGGGGGGGGGAGAGGGGTGGGGGGGGAGAGGGTGGGGGGGGGGAGAGGGGTGGGGGGGGAGAGGGGTGGGGGGGGGAGAGGGGTGGGGGGGGGAGAGGGGTGGGGGGGGGAGAGGGGTGGGGGGGGGAGAGGGGTGGGGGGGGGAGAGGGGTGGGGGGGGGAGAGGGGTGGGGGGGGGAGAGGGGTGGGGGGGGGAGAGGGGTGGGGGGGGAGAGGGGTGGGGGGGGGGAGAGGGGTGGGGGGGGGGAGAGGGGTGGGGGGGGAGAGGGGTGGGGGGGGGAGAGGGGTGGGGGGGGGAGAGGGGTGGGGGGGGGAGAGGGGTGGGGGGGGGAGAGGGGTGGGGGGGGGAGAGGGGTGGGGGGGGAGAGGGGTGGGGGGGAGAGGGGTGGGGGGGGAGAGGGGTGGGGGGGGAGAGGGGTGGGGGGGGGGAGAGGGGTGGGGGGGGGAGAGGGGTGGGGGAGGGAGGGAGAGGGGAGGGAGAGGGGTGGGAGAGGGGAGGGAGAGGGGTGGGAGAGGGGGTGGGAGAGGGGTGGGAGAGGGGTGGGAGAGGGCAGGGAGAGGGGTGAGAGAGGGGTGAGAGAGGGGTGGGAGAGGGGTGGGAGGAGGGGCTGGGAGAGGGGTGGGAGAGGGGTGGGAGAGGGGTGGGAGAGGGGAGGGAGAGGGGTGAGAGAGGGGTGGGGAGAGGGGGGGGAGAGGGGTGGGAGAGGGGAGGGAGATGGGTGAGAGAGGGGTGGGAGAGGGGTGGGAGAGGGGAGGGAGAGGGGAGGGAGAGGGGTGGAGAGGGGAGGGAGAGGGGTGGGAGAGGGGGGGAGAGGGTGGAGAGAGGGGTGGGAGAGGGGAGGGAGAGGGGTGGGAGAGGGGTGGGAGAGGGGTGGGAGAGGGGAGGGAGAGGGGTGGGAGAGGGTGGGAGAGGGTGGGAGAGGGAGGGAGAGGGGTGGGAGGAGGGGAGGGGAGAGGGGTGGGATGGGTGGGAAGAGGGGTGGAGAGGAGGGGGTGGAGAGGGGTGGATGAGGGGTGGGAGAGGGGTGGGAGAGTGGGTGGAGAGGGGTGGGAGAGGGGTGGGAGAGGGGTGGGGAGAGTGGTGGGAGAGGGGTAGGGCAGAGGGGTGGGAGAGGGGTGGAGAGGGGGGGAGGGTGGGAGAGGGGAGGAAGGGCGTGAGAGAGGGTGAGAGAGGGTGGGAGAGGGGTAGGGAGAGGGGTGGGAGAGGGAGGGAGAGGTGTGAGAGAGGGGTGGGAGAGGGGTGGGAGAGGGGTGGGAGAGGGGTGGGAGAGGGGTGGGGAGAGGGGTGGGAGAGGGGTGGGAGAGGGGTGGAGAGGGGTGGGAGAGGGGTGGGAGAGGGGTGGGAGAGGGTGGGAGAGGGGTTGAGAGGGGTGGAGAGGGGTGGAGAGGGGTGGGAGAGGGGTGGGAGAGGGGAGGGAGAGGGGTGGGAGAGGGGAGGGAGAGGGGTGGGAGAGGGGTGGGGGGAGA